AAGACGCCCACTGTCTATGGCCAGAAGCCTCACTTCTTCAGATTTGAATTGGATCATGCACAAACACGTGCTTTGATGGCTATGTTTACTCCTTCGCCTTCCCCCATCAAGTTCTGGACGCCTCCTGTTTCACAACCAGGAGCTCAGCATGTGAGCGAACCAACACCACCTCCTGTGTGGGTACAAAAATTTGAGGGTAACAATGAGCTCAAAGCAGAAAAGGTTTTAGTGTCATATGCAGATGCGGTAAAACAAAGCAAGTTTGAGGTTGAGGGAGTTGGACTAAGAGATGTGGATGATGGGTGGAACAATGAGTGGAACAATGAGCGAAACAACGAGCTCAAACCAGAAAAGGTTTTACCAGAAAAGGGTTTAGTGTCATATGCAGACATGGTAAAGCAGAACAAGTTTGAGGTTGAGGGAGTTGGAATGGCAGATGTGGACAATGGGCATGCCAGCTCAAGCAAAGAATCTTCCAATGGTTTCGATGATCTCGATTGCAAAGAGACACCACCAGAGTGGGAGGATCATGCACTGTTCAGTAAGGGAGTTGAAGTGCAACAGCAGCAACAATCTGCCCAGCAGGAAAATGAGCTTAGCTTCACATTGGTATTAGAGAAGCTTAAGGCTCTATCAGTCCAGCAACTTAGTTCTGAATTTTATGCCAATGGAGCTGGAACTGAAGGCATTGATGCATATGGATGTAAGGACATGCAAGAAGTTAAAGGTATATTTCTTGAGGGGCACTGTGGTTTGCCGGAGAACTTAGATACCGAAGTCGATCAGCTTGCCTGGGAGCATTCCAGTTTGCTACTTCAAGGATTGGACTATGAATCCTATTCAGAAGCTAAGGTTAGTTATAACAGAGCTACAGGGTTACTACCGTCCTTATATCTTGTCTAACTAATACGAATACTCCTTCAAACAGCTTCATATCTATGTATTCCAACTTTCTCACGGTTATTTTGTTTTTCAGTTGATAGATATGGTCAAAGGACTGTCCGAACGTATAGAGACTATGGAGAAGAAGCAGGTATCTCGAAATGCTGTAATATCTTCAAATGCCTTATATTTGTCATACTGTTTTTTTTTGGATCTTAAAGTTTATGAATCAGTAAGTTGATCATAGCGTCAATTCATGGTGACCTACAGGATGGTTGTATTTTCAAACTAAGTTTACTTTTATGTATTCTCTAGTGTATAGGATTATACATTTTGTATGTAAATGTTGGGAACTGCAAATTCAGCTTCTTTAGTGTTCTGTTCCTAATATTTTGATATGTTCAAATGCAGATTATTTCCAACAAAGAAGTCAAATGCCTACAAGGAGTGAATGACAGGTTGCTGAAAAGAGTTGTTGAGCTAAAGAACACAGTGAAGAATTTGAATTCCAAAATAGATCCTTTATCTCTAGATGATTCACTAAATCAGTTTGTTGAAGAATGTTTGGGTTCAGAAGATGTCATTTATCTCATTGGTGGTTCCGATGGCATCTCATTTTTGTCATCATTAGACTCCTTCTCACCCTCCTTGGACATACTAACACCTCTGAAACCAATGACTGCTGGGAAGTCCTATACCTCTGCTGTCGCGTTAGATGGCAAAATATTTGTTCTTGGTGGTGGTGATGGTGCTTGCTGGTTTGATACAGGTACTCATTGGTTTCTGTGTTCAGTCTTTGATGGCCTCCCTGATTGCAAATTTTTAGGTCCTAATATATGCATCTATCCTTTCTCCTGAAGTTGACTGTTATGACCGAAGACGTGATGATTGGACCCCATGCCCAGCACTGACTCATGGAAAGGGGAGCCTCGCTGGAGTTGGTTTGCATGGCAAAATTTATGCATTTGGCGGTGGAGATGGCATTGGCTGTTTCTCTGACATGGAGGTGTTTGATCCTGCTCAGGGAAAGTGGACAAAGAGTTACCCTATGCTAGAAAAGGTACATACGTTTTCAACATGTCATCCTTGATTCAACTTACCTTCATTGCAGGATGATTTAATCGAGTCTAGTAATTGTTGTATACGCTGCAGATCAGGAAAATTACTAGTTATGAACGAGAGTACTACACCGTAAAGAGAAAAAACTGTGGGGTTTACAGAAAAACTAGTTATGAACGAGTAAGTAGCCTACTGATAAATTAGTTGCTCCATTTTCAATACAAAGACGAGATAGCACCAACTTTTATCTCTTCATTCTCGATGCAAGCATGAGAACTACGAAATCCTAAGCAGTTACAGATAAGAACCTCCATGTCGGAGAATGGTCCATAGAATATGGAAAAAGTAACTCTTCGATCTATATGTGATGGTCTCCTCTGTTGTTGCTGGGTATTTTTCCTACTTTTAGTCAGCATCTGCTGGGGAAACCACACCTTGTTTCAGTGCGCATGTTAAAAAGGAGGATTAGCATAAGTTGGTTTTCAGCGGGTTGCTCTTGCTTGAATTACCATAAGTTGGCCTAACATTGTAGCATCTTATCCCAATGTTGTAGATTTCTCCACCATAACCTCCACACCACTGCCTAATATCCACAACAATGTCTTTGACATACTCGATGGTTCCTTCTCCCACGAGGATCACCAGAAATACCATGCTGGTTTTGGCTTTAACTGGATGGGGTCAGGGTTAAGTCTTCTGTAAGGAAAAAAAACAGGGGCTCCGCAAATTCACTACAGATGTATGGAATTTAGAAGTTTGCCCTGCTTAAGCAGGGAGACAGTCTCTTATTCATGTGAACAAATGAACAAAAATGTGTTCCTGGATTATGAACATAAATAACTTCTAGGCTGGGTGTTGGTCTCCACTGCTTATTTGCATTAAATTTGTAAAATTTACTTTTTGTTGACTAGCAAAACTCGTTAGTATCTTTTACTTTGTAAAATGCATCTAAAGCTGGCATCAAGGAGGACCATTTTATGGAAAGATAATGATTGTCCTGATGCAAAAGTGCGTACTTCTGTAGTACTCTGTATAATTGTTCTTGTTTCTCTATTTGCTATTTATGGTTTCTTACTCATGTCCATATAATTATATATTCCAGCCTATAAACCTCTATGATGTGATGATTGCTTTTGTCTGAATAATCTGTGGTGCTTGGTTTTCAGCGCTTTTCTCTAGCTGGTGCAGAACTTAATGGTGTGATTTATGCAGTTGGCGGTTTCAATGGCGTTCAGTATCTGAGGTGATATCCTTTCACCACTTGTACTTATTTTGGCAAGTTTCAGTTACAAACTGATTTAGGTACTATCAACCCAGCAAAAGTAAGTAGTTTAGTGCAGCAATGCAACCTGCAAAAGTCCTAGAGCACATTTCATAACTCATGGCTTAGTGCATATTACTCTGTCGACCCCCTTTTCGAGCAACAGAGAAACACTCTCCTTATATCGAAGCAGTATGTAAATCTGTAATCAACTGAGTACGGTATTCATTAGCCTATTTTCTTTATGGCTTGCATGACAATGAACTTGTTATTTCTTCAAAGTGAGAATGCATAATTTCCATTTTGCTAATAGTACGATGTTTGTTACCAGCTCTGCTGAGAGGCTTGATCCTAGGGAGCCTAACTGGAAAATGCTCCCAGCAATGAGTACAGTAAGAGGTTGTCATACAGTGGCAGTGCTTGATGAGAAGATGTAAGTACGTGCATCTCTTTTTACAGATCAGGACGGTCCACTAGAAATTGTAGAACGTGGGCATCTAATTAAGTCTCTGGTATAGCTCTTTGTGGTAAATCACGGGGACGGGGGATCAGCGTAAATTTTGTATGATGTCGGCCCATGTGATCCAAAATTTTGTTTTACTGACTCTTGCTACAACTGAAAACAGCATAGATGCCCGTCATGGTGCTTAGCAATGCCGTGTTTTTCTTTCAGATATGTAATGGGTGGTTATGATGCTGATGCTGGAGCAATGGCATCCACCGTTGAGTTGTACGAGCCAAGAATGCCGTCATGGGTGATGGTGGAACCAATGAACTACACCAGAGGGTACCACTCTTCAGCTGTGCTCGGTGGTTCGATATTCACTCTGGGTGGGGTCAAAGGTGAAGCAGATACAATCTTGGATGTGGTAGGTAGCTACACCCAGATGCAATTTTCCGCCGAGCACCATACGGCTGCTAACATCCAAACTATACTACTGCCTAGATTACCCTTCAGTTTCAGCCGTTTTATCACTTGATTTTCTCGCTGTTTGATGTGTAGTTTCTCAGAAAAATTGTGCTGATCAACTGTTGAAACGCCTTGTGTTGGATGGATTGTCAGGTGGAGCGCTACAAGGAAGGCTGTGGTTGGGTGAATACAGGGATGAAGTCAATCGGCAGCAGATGCTACTGCTCTGCCATTGTTCTCTGACCGACCGGCTTTCTCTGATCTACGGACACTTCGAACCTATACCTACTAGTATCTAAGTATCTATCTAAGCTGCTGCTGCTGATGAGTGAACTGCAAAGCAAACTGTTAAGACCCTGGAGGGTCCTCTCTTTGTCTTTGTCTGAATTCAGAAGCCCTTGTCTCTTGAACCGAGAAAACCACTGTCCAGTTTCTCGTTTCTTGTTTTTTTGGATCTTAATTCACAATGCAGCGAACATCTGATTCGAAACTGAACTGAAATGCGAAAAGGGACACGAACTATATGGACGAACATTTGATTTGTTGCCGTATGCTTATGGTCGTTTTTCGCTGTTGTTTGCCTTCCTGTTGTTTACTGAAGCAACTTCAGGGCACCAGACACAGCAAGAGAACATCAGGGTTTAGATTCAGGCCCGGCTTGAAGCCCTGCCATGATCCTTGATTTTTCAAAACATTCTTGAAGATGGTTTCAAAAGATCTTTTATTTGCCATATTTTATGTACTTTTTTTATATAAAAAAACGTAAAATTGTACTAGAACTGTAGAAGCAGGGCAATATGATGTGCAGAAAGCGGTCGTTGAGATAGTAAAGAGGACGTGCAGACTACTGACCTTTACACGTCCCCATCGATCCCATCACACCCACCGATGGCCGTCGGCGAGGAGGTCAAGCTCTCCATCTCCGGCGCCGCCCTCGCGGCGCTCCTCCACCGCTGCGGGGCCGCCGCGGGTGACTGCGACGGCCTCCTCTTCGGCCGCGCCCACCGCCCCCCTCCGCCGGCTCCCACCCTCTCCGACTACGACGACCAAGCCCCCGCCGCCCCGTGCCTTTTCATCTCAATCTCCGGCCACTCCTCCCTCTCCCACCCCTGCTCCCTCTCAGATCCCCTCGGCCGCCCCAACCCGCCGCCACCCTCCTCCCCTTGCCCCCTCGGCTTCTTCTCGTCCCGCCGGCGCACCCCTCTCCGCGCCTCCATGCGCGAGCACGCCCTCGCGTGCTCCCTGTCCAAAACCCTATCGCCCCTCACCCACCCGCTCCTCTTCATCCTTGTCTCCCCCTCCGCTTCCGACGACCTCTCCACCCACTCCTTCGACTACCGCGCTTTCCTCCTCGTCGGATCCCGCCTCGTCCCGACCTCGCTCACCGTCGTCAACGTCGGCCCCGGCTTCCGGGACCAGTACCACTCCTTCGCCCCGGAGTCGCCCTTCCCGTTGCTGACGACTCAGCCGCCGCCGGCGGCGCCCCAAGCAGAGGATGCTTACAGCATTGGGGAGCAGAAGGCCGTCGATGCGATGGTGGACGGGTTTGGGCTGGGGAGGCTGCAAGGGCTCGTCTGCGCTGCAGCTGGGCAGGCGGCGGAGATGGATAGCATGTATGCCGGGATGCTCCATAGGATGGAGAAGCTCGCAAGGGAGGTGGAGAAGAGCAATCACCGCGTGCTCGACCAGGTTGTCTTCTCATCCTGCCTATCATGCTGTTCTTAGAGTGATTACATGCAGAATGCATTTAGGAGCTATTGCGCAAACCATCTAGTGGTTGAATTGTGTGCTTTGAGGGGTTCTTGCAATTTAGTCAGTAATTCAGTATGTTGGTTTGGAGCTACATCTTGCAAAGTTTTAATCGAAAATGATCAGCTGGGAGCAACGGTGACTATTATTCATGCAAAAATAGTTGCATAGTTTGGCAAGAAACATTTCCTTATGCAAGGGTGGTAGTTATTCATGTCTACGCAGAGTAGTGTGTAGTGTAGAGAACTAGTCATTCTGGTCAATATTTGATTCTCATTCGTCACAACAGGTTCACTCGTGTAGATTATGCATGGGATATGAAGTTTCCTTTCCTTTCAAGAGTGCATTGTTTATGCTCAATTGGTTGTCAGCACTCATGAAATAGCTTTCAAGAGTATTTTTCATGTAATCGTATGCCACAGCTGCACTCATGGAAGTATATAGATAAGCTAACCAAATAGCTACATGTTCAGTCCCAAATCCAAAAAAGTCTCGCCATCACTCCCTCAGTCTATCTCCTATTTCAATCTTCTCTATGCAACTAACCTGCCTCCACCAAGATGCTTGATTCCATGAGCTAAAATATCAACTATAAAGTCCCAGTAAAATGGCTTGCAGTGCCAATTGGAATTTGGGCCTAGAGCTGCTCTTGTTCAAGTCAAGAAAAGGCGGAACATACTGAGTTGGAGAAAGGGTTTATAAAGGCAGGGCCAGTCCTGAGATTTGGAGAGCCCAGGGCAAAACTAGAAACTGGGGCCCTTGATATGCAAAAGAAGAACAAATCAGTTTTTCTTGTGGAAAAAAAAATCTGAACACCCCATGTCGGTGAGCCGTATGTATATTTGAGATTTAGTTGGCCTAAAGGAGGAAGAGAAGGTCGCTGCCACATTTTAAATGTATTGATCACCCATCACGGTATAATTGTTTTATATCTTCAGAAAGAAGAGGGCGAATCTCACTAAATATACCGAGAAAAAAGTTAAATTTTCTATGAAAATGCAAATCAGATAAGGCTTTCAGAAAAGATATTTTTACTTGTGGTAGAAAATAATAATGAGAATACAAATCTGAAAAAGCCTTTACACGAAACTGAAAAGTAAAATGAATGAAGAAAGCTAAAATACTATCAGTGTGCCATGCGCAGTTTGCGTATTTAGCTGGCAAACTCACCCCCAAAGAGAGGATGTGTATTATCATGGTTTTGCCTTCACGTGCCATGTGGTGCTCATACACACAGAAAGCCAATTATAAACCGTTAGAAAATTAAATAGCTGAACCATGTGTTGTACTAATTGATTGCTCGAGTCAACACGGGAACCTGCTATCTACTACACCGGGCTTTAGTCCAAGATTGAGCGACGAAGCGAAGCGTCGCAAGGGGCATACTCACACCGCGTAGGCGTGGTTATCTGTCCATGGTGTCACGCCACCTGGCCTGCCTCTGGCCTGGCGCCTGTGCTGCTACTTAGCTGCGTTGTGTGCTGGCCAGGCCCAGTTAGTACAGACTACATACGGTATATCTGGGGCCCAGGGCGTCCGCCCTGCTCGCCCTACCCCAGGGCTTGGCCTGTATAAAGGCACGTTCAATGTTCTGAGAAAACCGAAGGTAAGAAATCCTTGGCCTCTCTGCATCCGCACCTAAACATTTGGTCTAGCAAATTTTTTTCTGGGTCCAGAGCTAGTTCAGGCCTCAAGCCCAAGTATCCAAAGGAATGAGAACATGAGGTGAGAACAAAATGGTGGAGGTTAAGAGACAATTATGGGACCGTGGGCACAGGGCGTCAGTTTGGAAAAGGCGCTACTGTTCTTACTTACTGGTGGGAGTCAGTACTAGAGGTGCAGGCGAAGTTTTCCATTGAGCAGAACAATGGGAATTTAGCCTCGCCAAGGTGGTGGCCTTTTGTAGTTTGAGGTCTTAAAAACTGACACAAGTGCATGATCTTTCATATAGGATGTTGTTGGAATGCCTTCTCCCTGAAAGACCAATCCTCTGTTGCGTCAAAAAGTTTAAGCCGATCTCGCCGCTGCTATTCGTCCTCGATCTCGCTCGCAATTGACCCGCTTCACCAAATTCTTGAGTTGGCAACTAGGAAGGGCCTCCTGCATAAGATTCGGGGACGAGGCGCTATGATGAGAACCTCCTTATATGCAGATGACGCAGCTATTTTCATGGCCCCAATCAAAAGCGACGTCGACAACCTCGCCACCATCTTGAAGGGTTTCGGTGATGTCACGGGTCTATGCACCAACTTCCATAAGAGTTTGGTTGTGCCAATCAGATGTACCAATGTTGACTTGGATCATGTCCTCAGTGCCGTTCCCGTGTCTAGAGCCACCTTCCCGATGAAATACCTAGGACTCCCACTCTCGGTCTGGCAGCTCAAGACTGTGGATTTCCAATACCTTGAAGACAAGGCGGCCGGCAAGCTTGCCACCTGGGACGGCCAAAACATCACCACCATCGGGCGCACGACACTTGTCAGATCGGTTATTGCCTCCCAAGCAGTGTATGCCATCACACCTCTCATCGTGCCACCACGCTCTCTTCACAACATCAACAAATTGGAGAGGGCTTTCCTTTGGTCTGGATCGGATAAGACGACCGGTGCCAAATGTAAAGTGAATTGGAAGGTGGTTTGCCGCCCCAAGGAGTATGGAGGCCTTGGGGTTCTAGACACTGACAAGTTTGCTCGGGCCTTACGTCTTAGGTGGCCATGGTATGAATGGAAGGAGCCAAACAAGCTTTGGGTGGGGCTTGGGAACCCTTGCACGGAGGAGGACATGGACTTCTTCTATGCCTCAACGACCATTTTGGGCAACGGTGCCAAAACACCTTTTTGGGATTCCCCATGGCTTCTTGGGCGGAAACCGAAGGACATTGCCCCTTTGATTTATGAGGCCTCCACGCGCAAGAACTGGAAGGTGCGTGAGGCCCTCCATGAAGATGCTTGGATTCTTAAGATCGGTCGCAACACCATCGTCTCCGGTGCCCACATCCTCCAAGTCTTCACGTTATGGATGCTTGTGCATGACCTACACTTGGATCAACAAACTGACGATGACATTATTTGGAAGCACGCCAACGACGGGTCCTACTCCGCGGCCACCGCCTACAAGGCTCAGTTTCTTGGACTGACACTTTCGCCCATGGACTTTATGATCTGGAAGGCTTGGGCCCCTCCTAAGATCAAGTTTTTTGCTTGGTTGGCTATCCAAGACCGGATTTGGACAGCCGACAGATTGGAGCGGCGCGGTTGGCAAAACTGTGGACTTTGCCCGCTTTGCAAACGTGTTGGCGAGACGGGTGCACACCTCTTCTACAAATGCCGCTACACCATAAGGCTATGGAACTCGATCATCCTTGAATTTGGTCTAGCGCACATGGACACCTCCTCTTGGCATTTGGATGGATCCGTTTTGGAATGGTGGGAAAAGCGAACCTGCTTGCAAAACCCAAACTGACGAGCCTTGGCCTCACTTACAATGCTAGTCTCTTGGACGATCTGGAACGAGCGTAATGCTCGGGTCTTCCGACACAAGAGCGCACCGCCTCCGGTCCTTCTCCGTGCTATCATCAACGACGTCAAGCTTTGGGTTCTCGCGGGAGCTAAAAAACTGGGGTGTATTCTTGTGCGCGAGTAGTTGCCATGCCGGGCATATGGGTCATTTGTAACACTCTAAAACACTTCTCTCTTATTTAATGAATGAGGCAAATCTTTTGCCTCCGTTTCGAAAAAAAAAGTTTAAGCCTTGGTGAAGGGGAAGTGAGAGGATTTGGCACTCGAGTAGTTGCCACTGGATGTGTGCGCTCTGTTATTGATCGTCTTGTCATTTGTCCATGTGATTCTGTAGGAAAAGCGGAACCTGGTGCTGAGGTACAAGACAGCGGGACTGCAACTGCAATAAAAGACCGAAGCTTCTTTCGGTCTCAGCAAGGTATTTCCTGAATTGGGACTCTTGTAAAACTTACTCTTGTAAAACTTGCTTCAATGTCTGTGCTCCTGAGGGTTATCGCTTACTCTTTTGTAGTTTTGTTACGACCTACTTCTGTTACAGTAGTTGACTCATTCTGCTCTGAGACATCCAGATTCTAGGGTGACTAATTGATGATCTTGATTACACTAGTTCATTTCGTTCATATTGGAACTGGTAAGATTGCACGTCTCGAGATTCCAGCACATTTCATAGCATGCTAATTCTGCAACTATTTGGTACTTTGCCGTCGCAAGGAGCAACTTTGGTCCTGATGTATTTAACCTGAAATGTTGCTATGTTGGCGGTTGTGTATTCTCGATTATGTATAACATATCAACCAGCCTATGCTGACTTGTGTTTCACCTAACTCTCTCTGCAGTGTGTATGTGCTCCGGAATACCGGAGCAGCGCGTCTCCGGTCAGGGATTGATCGTGCATTGCACGGCAGTAGTTCAGCCATTGGAGTAATGGCTCCGTAGGGTGAAAGATGGTGTGCTCCATGGATGGAGTTGGGACGGGCGGCTTGCCCGTTGAGAAACTGATGGTGCTGGCAAAGTGCAGCGTTGAGTCATGGTCGTCGTTGTGATGCTCCTCCTATTCGTTTATCAATGCGATTGAGCGGACTGAGTCGTAATGTATTTCTTCAGACACAACATAACAACATTTATGTTATGGAGATAATGATTTGTTATGGCTATTATGATTCGTTGATTGTTCTTTTCTTTTTGAACTGATGATTTGTTGACTTGTGGTTTTTCTCTCCACCGTTTCCTTCTTCAGAGGTGCCCTCGAAAAATCAGGCAATCTCGCTCAGCTTTTTAATGACGTGGTGGCCTCCTTCACGGGCAATCTCGCTCAGCTTTTTAAGCACACATTTGACACGAAGGGGCTCGGATTGGTTGACTTTAATGTAAGATAACTTTGTGTCACTGACATGTGGGCCCAACATATCAGTGGCCCTAAGGGCATCTCCAACGTTGACCCGCAAATTTGCTCCTGCATCCTTCGCGTACATGGGACATTCTGTGGGCACGGATGTGGGAGCTAGCTATCCAATGCTACTTGCATACATTTCAAACACTGTTTAAACAAATCGGACGAACTTAATACAAACCAAATGCTGACTGTGACGGATCTCCCTTGGCATTCCCATGTCCGGTAGCCCGTTCATCGGATTGCCGTGAGCCCCGAGGTATATGCTTCAGCGGAAAGGGCAAGAGTAGCCTCTGCTTTCCCATGTCCGGCAGCGCCGATCATCGTGCGATATGCTTAAGCCGGAGGCGAAGGGTGCCCTCCGCTTTCGTGGAGCACAGACGAGGGTTGGTTGTTGGGCGGGGGAATGACGCTGGCCTGCTAGCAGACAAGACACCGACAATGCACGCCGTGGCGATGGCCTTCGTGAGACCCAAGTGGCGACGACCTCCCATGTTCTACTTTTCCTCGATGATGGTGGCAAGCGCAGACGTGCTAAGCCACCGCCTCGTCGATCTCCGCGAAGTTGGCTTCTTTCTCCACCGGTAGGGCACGATAGCAGGTACACAAGGAGCGGTACTATCGGATTTCGGGTTCCGGCAGACCCTCTAGGTTCGAACTCTGGGGTGCACGCGAAGATCGCACCTCCTACCTACCTATGTCTCGTCGCCTCGCAAGGATCTAAACTACACAAAGAACAACACAAGAGACACAAGGTTTATACTAGTTCGGGCCACCATTGTGGTGTAATACCCTACTCTAGTTTGTGGTGTGGTGGATTGCCTCAGGGGCTGATGATGAACAATACAAGGAAGAACTGCCTCGCGAGGGGAGTTCTTGTGTTGGTGGTTCTGGCTAGGGTTCAACTACTCGATCTGTCGGTGCCTCTATACTTTGGTGGCTAGCCCTATTTATAGAGCGAGGCCCTGGGCCTCTTCCCAAATATTGAGCGGGAAGAGCGCCAACAATTGGCCATTTTGAAGGGGAACATCTAGTACACTTATCCTGACTAAAGTTGGTCCTCGCCTGCCAAAGACTCTGGCGGTGATGCCGACTTGGGCTCCACGATGACCTCCTTCCTGCCGTTCTGCTAGTCTTGGTCTTGTTGCACCGAAACGGCTGTCTTTGCTTGATACTCTTGCCTGCGCTTGCTCCCTTTGCACCAAAGAGGAAACAAGGACTCTGCGCAGGCCGGCGCCCGCCTGGCGCCCGCCTGGCCTTGGTCGTCATGGCTTGCGTCATGGGGCACCTCGTGAGGTACCCCGCCTTGATCTCTCCGCCTCCTCGCGAGCCAGCCTGATGAGGCCGTGCCTGAGGAAGCTCCCTGTCGTTCGTCCCGCGAGGCTTGGCCCCTCACGAGGGTCTTGAGCTTGTGTTGATGAAGATGGGTCGTACTAGGCCACCCCTTGAGCCATGCCGCAGGCCGCGGGCAGGCAAGTCTGGGTACCCCCGTTCCTAGAACGCCGACAGTAGCCCCCGGGCCCAAGGCGCACCTGGACTTGGCTTAGCCAAGAAGCGAAGGGGCAAGTGCGAAGCGCCGCGGGCCCCAACAGCCTGCGGCCTTGGGCGCCGCGTGGCGGTTGATTGGATGTGGGCGTCCCCGCTCCCCCACGACGCCTCGGCAACTGCACGAATTGACAAGTCCCTGCATGCAAAGCGGGTCATGATTACCTGTGATCGTGGAGGCCGACGGTTGGCCTCCTCAGACTATATGTACGGAACGGTGAGAGCCTCTCCAGTCCATCGTCTCCTTCTGCTCTCCGTCTCCTTCTCTACCCTTGCTCCACCATACGCCAATGGCACCGATCCGGCGGTTTTCTGCCGAGGAGAAGGGGAAAGCCCCCCGAAAGGGTCCTTCCCCGCTTCCGCCGAAGAAACGGCTCGTCTCCCGCCGCGAGGAGGAGGGTGGCCGGCGGGAGGTGTCGAGGCCATGGTTCGAGCGGCCGCCTCCTGGATTCTCATTGCCCCTATACGCCCGGATCGAGGGTCCCGAAGGCGCAGGCGCCGAGCAGCACCGCCAGAGGCGCCGTCGCCGTTGGCGGATCACGGCGGTGCGCGTCATTCCTCCCGGGGTTCACACCGAGGCTTCCTCCCGCGAGTTTGTGCTTCAGCCGCCATGCCTCCCCGGTCCTGGATCCGCCTTCCTCCTTCCTTCTTCTTCGAGATTCCGCCAAGGGGGCCTTTCAGGCTCTGGCTGCAGCACGCCGACTGCCAGACTCCTGCGACCGAAGCGGATGTCGAGGTCGTCGCCCCAGGCAAGGTCTTCATGACCCGGGGTTGGAGCGAGATCGCCCGGGTCTGCCGACCGGAGGGGGCCATTGTGATCCACATGGATTACGATGGCGCCTCCCTGATGCTCTTCAAAGTCTTCGACGAAGATGGACGCCGGCTGGAGTGCTGCCCCAGAGGCAGCAGCCGAAGCTTTGGAGCGGCAAGGACCAAGCCTGCCGCCCGCCCTTCCAGCAGCTCCTCTGATGGCAGCGGACGTACCGGAGGGTCCGGTGACTCTTCTGGACTCTTCCTGACACCGGCTACAAGCGACGACAGCTACGAGCCCCCGAGCTCGCGCCGTGCCCGAAGCAGGGTCAGCGTGCCCACGGTCGACGCGGCTGATCTGGATGGGGCTGGCGCTGGCCTTGCACGGCCCACTGTTGATGATGGCGTCTGCCGTCATGGCCCCTGTAGTTAGGGCTCCTTAGGATACACGTCTTTTGTCCCTGCGAGGAGCCAAGAACATACCCTGTGGGGGCTTGTTAGGTGCATGTAGTTCCTTTTGTTAATATGATCCTCATCATGAAGCAGTGTGAGATGCTCGTCCCGCCTTAGCTTAGTTCCTCCTTTCGAACCTCACGAGGGCTTGATGCTCTGCGCTGACAGGTCCCGGTCCCAAGGCAAGCTTCAGCCGTCGCTGGTATGCCAGGTCGCGATGCTGTGGTCAAGGCCAGGAGGTGAGCGGCCCGAGGTCCAGTAAGAGCCCCTGAGTCGCGATGCTCAGGAGGTCCCCTTTAGCGCTCAAGCAGCCATCGTTCGGTGAGAAGGAGCGCAACATTGCCAACACGGAGCCGCATTAGGTGCAAGGTCGGCGTTGCAATAGTTAGTCACTCCGTAGGATGACTTATCTCGAGAGTCTGAAGCTACTCCTTGGCGCGGCGCCGGGTCCGCGCGTCGGCAACCGAGGAGTTGCCTGGCGAGATCCTCGCGAGCCTCCTCCCTCTTGCCTTTACTCCCCTTCATGCTCTACGTCCTCGGGTCCCGGTCCTCGAGCGAGCTCAACCGTCGCTGGTATGCCAGGTTGCGATGCCGTGGACAAGGCCAGGAGGTGATGGTTGTAGAGCTAATAAGAGCCCGTGAGTCGCGATGCTCAGGCCCCCCCTTTAACGTGCAAGCGGTTCACGCGGACGAGAGGGAAAGAGACGCTGCGAAGGCCTCGCCTGACGCTGTTCCTTAGAGAGATCCTGTGAGCTCATCACAAGGAAAACGAAAGTTGCCATTACAATTGCCAGCCAGCTGCTAGTTGCTCTGGAAGGGTGACGAGGGCACTGAGGGCCTGGTGAGGTGGCGCCGTACGGGGTTGCCGCGGCCAGAGCTCAGCCACTCAGGTTTATCGGCGTTGCAGGGACGGACCCATGCGCAAGCGTCATGCCGTTAGGGAGCAGCTCCATAAGTTGGTGTCAATCGAGCGGGCGATTAAGTCGGGCACGTTAAGCATAAAGGAGCAAATTCATTTAGATAGGTGTATAAAAAGGCAATCACCGCTGGGTCAGGCCCGAGTGGCTTGGGGATGATGCAGCCCGAGGGACGCCCCCAACAGAGCAAGCTAAAAACATGAGCAAAAGGGATACATGCCGCAGGGACGGACCCACGCGGCCTGGGAATGATGCAGCCCTGAGGGCGCTCCCAGCTGAAAAATGAAAATCAAAAGATGTCACCTGATGATGTTGAAGATGAAGGGATGCTAA